GTAGGGAAATGGATATCACTCTCCTTTCAGTGAACGTAAGTAACCAGAGGACATTCCAAATGGCAGGGCAATGGGTTTATTGTGTCATTTGCGATTGAAAGTTACAATTATAATATAATTTTATACCCCTTTCATTGAAATACAAAAAAAAAATAATGTAATTATATTTCCAACAACATAAAATAGCAACACTACATTGAACACCAACAATCACCAATAGGATTGCAACTTGTACCAAATGTCATCAAGAAAACAAAAATAGACAAATCTCCATGATCTATAAATGAACAAAGGAGCAACAACTACCCAGAATCCCACAACAAATCCAAGTGTCATACTCACAAAGAACCAATTCACTCCATGCCCATCATCCTCTGTTCCAATGTGATCAATATTAGGAATTTGTGGATTGGATCTACAGTTGACAGGTAGCGGTGGACCACATAAGTTATTGCCAACAAAATTGGATGCTTCAAAGCTTTGAATTTGAGTGCCTGTTGGAATTTTACCCTTCAAATGATTATAAGACAAGTCTAGCATACTGAGAAAGCTCAAGTTTGATATGGTTGGAGGGATTTCTCCTGAAAGTTGGTTCCTTGAGATATCAATGAATTGTAATGAACCCATATTGCCAATACTTGATGGAATATGACCAGTTAATTGGTTGTGGGATAAGTTCAAAAAGTTCAATCCATTTAGATTTGTGATTTCTATTGGTATATCTCCTGACAACTTGTTATTTGAAATATCAATGCTTGTCACCAAACCTAGAAAGTTTTGGTACTCATCCCCTCTTCCTTTTAGCCAAAGGAGCACACTGACTATACCTATTGTATTACTACCAAATGCATAGTTTGTTGCTTCGGAAAAGATAAGAGGAGTTGTGCTTTTGTTCATTAGTGTCATGGCCTTCAAGTGATTGAAACAACTAGGTATATTTCCAGATAAATCATTGTGTGCAAGGTATAGAACTTGAAGAAGACTCATATTACACATTTCATTTGGAATATGACCAGAAAATTTGTTTGATTGAAGGCGAAGTATTTTCATTCTGGAGAGCTTTTCTCCAACCCATGTTGGAATAGTTCCTGAAAGATTATTTTCCCCAAGGTCCAAGGATATCAATTGGTTATTTTTCCTCAAATTGGTAGGAAACATTCCTGAGAGTGAGTTGTTACGAATTTGTAAAGATTGCAATATAGTTAAGGAACCCATGGATGGAGGTAAGTTTCCAACAAAATGGTTGCTTTGTAAATTTACATCCACTAGAAATGGCCAAATCATCCAACAATCAGGTATTTCTCCTGATAAGTTATTTGATGCAAGATTGAGAAATCCTAATTGCATTGGCTCGACTTGATTTTTACACAAAAAATCATTCATGGATTCAGAGAATGAATTTTTTGAAAGATCTAACCGATACACATCATTTGAAAGATTGGGTAATTTACCAAATAAGTTATTTGAGCTTAGATAAACATTATAGATTGAAATTGGATTCCTTAATGTAGTTGCAAGCTCACCATGTATATGATTATGAGAGAGGTTTACAACAAAAGCTTGAGAAAATCTTTCCCAAAACCAAGCAGGAATAGGATCTAAAATCCCTGCATTAGACAGATCTAAATATTCAATTTTGTTTTGTGACTGAATCCATGATGGAAAATTGGGACCTAATTGCCACGAGCCCATTCCCAAATTGGTAAGCAAAAAATTAGGATGCCAATTGGGACTCACATTTAATGTAAAATTGTTCCCTGATGCAGAAAAGATCTTTAAGCTTATAAAATTTGCCAGATGATCTTCGTTGACAACTCCTTGAAAAAGGTTGTCATCAATGTAAAGATATGACAAATTAAAGAGTGATCTAAGACTTTCAAATGCGTTTCCACGAAATTTATTTTTGGACAGATGGAGAGATTTTAATGATGAAAGTTTTTCAATTGATCTAGGAAGTGCACCACCAATTGAGTTTTCAGATAAATCTAGTCCAACAATATTTTCAAAATCCCCAAGTTGATCTGTTAGATTGCCTGAGAGTTGAGAACTTTGAATGGCCAATGTTTTTAGTCCGTGGGAAATACAAGGAGTAAGAATTTGTAAAATTTCATTCACCTGTTGGTTGAGTTTGAGATACGAGAAATATATCTCCCTTAACTTGCAGAGATTGCCTAAAGAGGTTGGAATTGTTCCTTGAAGTTGATTATTTGATAAATCAAGTTCAACTAGAGAAGTCAAATTTCCTATAGAAGATGGAATTGGTCCTTCAAGTTGATTATATGACAAATAAAGTACAACCAAAGAAGTCAAATTTCCCAAGTTATCAGAAATAGACCCATGCAAGTTGTTTTGTGCTAGGTTCAAGAATTCCAGATGACAAAGACGGTATAACCAATTAGGTATAGAAGATGAGAATGAATTCGACCAAAGGTTAAGATGTTGAAGAAGTGTGAGATTTTGAAAACTATCAGGAATCGGACCCTGGATTTCATTACCCCGTAATTGAAGAGAATTAAGTGTCTTCAAACTAAATATCCATTTTGGGACAAAAGAAATGGCAGGAGAATAAGAAGCAAAGGAAAGATCAAGAGTGAGTAGAGATGAGACATTAAGAAAGGATGGTTGGTTATTGTGATTAAGCTTAGAATTTGACAAATGTAGGTGCTTCAAAGAAGGAAGAGCTTGAAGATTGTGTAACCAATGAAATGATTTGGATAGGTCTACGCCACTCAAATCAAGATACTCGAGCTTCGAAAGACTCGATAGCCAATCAACATTTTCAGAAAACAAATCTCCTTTATTAGATCTACTTGTGAGATGAAGGTAGAGCAAATTGGAGAGATTCCCGATCTGAGATGGAATTGGTCCAATGGCAACATAGGTAAGGTCAAGATACACCAAATTGGATAGATTTTTGATTTGTGGGGGAATCTTCCCATTGAATCCAACATAGGAGAGGTCGAGGCGAGTTAAGGAAGTCATTGTCCAAAGAAAACCGGGAATTGGGATTCCTGCTCCAAGTAATTCATTGCCGCTCAAGTCCAAGTAATTCAAATGCTTCAAATCAACCAAACAAGGATTTATCTCCCCACCGAACATAGATCTCATATAAGCTTCGTAAGCCTTTTCATAAGCCTCTTCATCAGAGTCAGTGCCATAGAATATATAGTCAGTTGAATTAGGTCTTGATGAAGTGTTGAGGTGAAGCTCAACAACGTGGGATGTTACCTTGTTGCAGATTATGCTTTAACTTCAAAAGTGCTTCTCGCTCCCTTGGGATGCACACAATCTCTCTGCAAACACCAAAACGTAACGTTAGCAACCAAAGATAACAAAGAGTGAAAATAATGGAGGAATTCATGATCATGCTTGTCATCTATATAACAAACAATTTAATATTGGATAACTGCTGCTTCTTGCTTTGCCTTATAAAATTAACTTCTATCTATTATTTATACTAGTGCATGCAGTACCATTTTTTTTTCTCTTCATTTTTATTATTCGTTACGTTTTTTTCACGATTAATGACTTTAATATCCAACTCACCAGAATTCTTAGAGTAACATAAATTTTATATTTACTTTATCTATTTCCCCAATTTAAAATTCCTATATGTACTAATTAAATTCACAATAAATGGCATTTTAAAATTAGTAAAATGATATATATATGAGGAGGGTTATAATAATATCGGTATAACTTTTACTAAGTATTATACCGTTCAACAACTTTATATTAAATGTGAATTTTGAAAATCTAACCGTTAGATTGAAAGTTCATATCTCTTATTAGGTCATATATACAAAATTTTATATTAATGCAAGATGATTTAATACTTTATTTTTATAAAACAAAATTGACATAATATATTCTTCCAAAATATACTAAAATACAAATACTTTGATTATCTTCAAGTTGTTGTTCAATTTATAACAAAATTTGATATTCACATATAAAGTGATATGAACTTTCAATCTAACGGGTGGATTTATAAAATTCACAATTAATATAAAGTTATTGAGTAATGTAGTGTTATTATAACTCTCTCTCTCTCTCTCTCTCTCTCTCTCTCTCTCTCTCTTA